AATAATAATAATAATAATAATAATAATAATAATAATAATAATAATAATAAATTTGTTATATTTCTACGCTGGGCTCTTTTTCGAGGCAGAAACGTTGATCGATATGAAAATCCCTGTTAACTGGTGAGCACATAATCGCCGCATTGTAATATTATTAACATTATTACGTTATTATGAAATTGTTGAAATAAATGAAATGAAAATAAACGTCTTCCATTTTCTTCTTCTTCACTTTCATTGGCGATTTTATTACCTGATTTATTATCAAAGGTGCTCTATGTCTGAAACTGTTGGTTAATACGGCAACAATAAGACTTTTCTTATTAACCGCTAGAGAAAGTGTGACAAATATTTTATTAATGTGTTTAAGCATTCCGTATTGCTGGCAAGATCAACCTGTTGCTCTTCTTTGTATATTTTTAATTCAGAAACGTACAAATTGCCATTTTCTGTCTCGCACACATATTAAGTATCGTATTTCTTCATGGAATAGGTATACTACGCACGTAGAATACAGAGAAATCGTATCATTTCATAATCTTTATTTTATATTCGAAGAACCTAACGATTTACTGTACAAATATCCGATTCATTGATCATTACTGATCCATAACTTATAAAAATAACAGTCTAATGCAATAGAAAATACCTGTACTTGTACAGAGAATATTAGACATAATCAGCATTTTAATAGTCAATATTCAAGCGATTTAGCATATGCATTACGACCGTTTCAGCGAACGGCGAGCACGCAAATCAGTAGCGCCACAGGTACTCCCCGTGTGAATAATTATTACACGCACTCTATACAGACCAAAGTGTTAAGGTAAACTGAAAACTAGCAGCTTAGATTCTTTAAGGAAAACTAGACATACCAATCTCTGGTTATTACTAAAACAGAATTCCATGTAAAAGTTAACTTAAAACGAACTGACTCAAACTGATTACTGATTTAACAGACGAGCGCCTTATTGTCATTATCTATTCAATATATCCGTGGCCATTGTCGTAAATTTATTTTAAAACGAAATTTAAGAAGTATGTAAAAAGTTCTTAAAATTAAAGGAAAAATTTCTGTCCTAAAAATTAATAGAAAATTAATCAAAATAATGAAAAATAACATATTTTAATTTTTCTAAACTTGCCCGTTTAGTACCAGAGCAATATGCATTAGAAAAAGAAGTCGAGTACGATATTTTTTCATGCAGATTTCTGTCTCGGGAACGTGGCAACATCGCATATAAACATGGTTATATTTCATGGTTGCTTCGAAACGTCAAAAAGAATTTGAAGCGTCAATCTCTCTCGCTCGTAACTTAACCTGACGAAAATTGAAATGTCGAGATGCAGCATCCTCGATTTCACAACTACTACGTCGAATAAAATAATACTTAAAAAGTAATTGGAACTGTAATTGTATCAATTACTACTTTTTTCTATTAAAATCATAATCAAATAATAATTTAAGAATTATATTATAGAAAATATATCGTTATTAATACTTTCTATATTTGAGTTTTGTTTTGACTAGTACAGTTGGGAAAGGACCACCTTAAATTCAAATATTTTAATCGATGAAAAATTTTTCTTTCCTTTGCTTAGATATTAGCGGGCAGTGGATAAATGTGACTCCGATGTTTAAACTCAATAATGCAAGATTTACTAAATTTATTTATTGTAATTGGAAGGAATGAGCACGATCGATGCTGTTCACGCTCTAACGACATTGCACTCATGTGTGTTTAATATCAACACGTTTCACTGATTGTTGCAACGCTGATAGAATAGTTCGATTCATTTTATTTTATCGTTAATCGCGAACAGTTACGTTTACAGCTAAAATAGAACAAGCTCTCAGCTATTTTGCGTGTGAGAATCAATGAGAGAATGTTCAAATAGTCAATTGCCACGAAAAACAAATTTCACTCTTTAACTCTATCTAATAAGAGAAATGATACTTATTTTAAATTCAAATGTATATAAAATGACACTAACCCTAGAATTCTAATGCTTTTTTTTTATAGTCGCATTTATTATCCTTATTTATAATAATTATAAATGTATATGTCCATAATAGTTATTACATTTTTTAAAACTTAAACAATTATCGTCGAGTTTGACGTTGAAGTCTAGAGGAAGGTAGAAAAACGTAAGAAACGTAAAAATTACATACATTAGTATTCTAGGGTTAATTGAAGATGTCAGTAGCAAAATCTCGTAAACGTTAAATTATTCATCGATAATGGGATCGATGAACGATCCTAAGAATAGTATAATGTTACGTTCTATCACTAATTGGCGGAAAACTCTTAATAATTCAATAAAACTGGAGATCGATGAATCATTCGAACGACGTTGAGCCCAAAGTATTAAACAATAAAACTTTCCGTTGCGTCGTAGTCGTTATTCGTCTCCAATTATAACTGACATCTTCAATTGCACGTTAGTTGCAAAATGTCGTTTAAAATCGTCTCATTATGATTCTCATACACAGTCATACTTCGCATTCTTGAGTGAACAAGGCTATAAAATATATGGAAGTAAAATGTATAGAAATCAGTAAGCATAATCTAGTTACTTAATTCACGGGGTCTACACTCTAGTTATTGTATCTTGTTCAAGGAAGACACGTGTCACTCTATCAAGGAATTAATTCGTCACTCTAATCGCGAGCAGTGTTTTTCATACACATCAATTTTCCATACAAGCGTCGAGGACAAAGAATCGCGAACGTTCGACGATGAATCTCATTTAAAACACGGTTCTCTCTTCGTATTACTTTTTTTTTCTGTTTTTTTTTGTTTCGTTAATATTCTTTACACCCGACCTGAACTTCATCCACCGCGTCGATTCACTTCGTCATGACGCAACAAATACCGTAAAGCTCAGGTCGTTCTTCCGATCCATGGGGAGGGAAGTTCGATTTACAATTTACCATCGAGTATAAAATTATCAAAACGACATGCAATTTACTTCCAGAGCGCGTATTCTCTCGAGTCGTCGATGTAAACGAAAAGCATTCGATTCGGAACGAAATCGATGTTAAAGTTCGGTTTTAAAATTGCTGCGCTTTCGCTTCGCTGTGATGAAGTTCGCGTAATAAAATCAAAGCTTCTTTTATAGTATATACAATAACATCACTTGTAACAATGGGCTGATTCGCGAGGCACAACTGTAGGCAATATATACGAGAAAATCAACGACCTTTAACCAGCAACCATAAACATTCTTTGTAAGTGGGACAAACTTTCTATTAGAGAAAACATGACCGTTTAACAATCTTTTGCACAATATACATGTAGCTTGATTATGATACCTCCGTATATTGGATGTACGATACATTTTTTTTTCTTATTTTTTTTCCCTTACTCTTCTCGTTTGCAACGACTCAGAACACAGGGTCGTGACATTGTACTTCTAATGTGCGCTTTCGTAGTGTCATTAGCAAACGTGACGTGAAGTTCAATTTTTTCTTTGAGATTTTCGAGAAACGTGAAAACTTCGTTACACGTGACATTCACGGGAAAGGATTGAGCGGCTCGGAATTTTCTGCATATAATGTTAATGTCTCTAAAACGAAGAAATAAAATGGAAACGTTGAAAATGCCACTGTAAAGTCAGAGTATTGCATGATAGTGATGGAGTCGATCCATAACATTTTCCGCGATCTTCGAAAAAATGAGATTCATCCAACAGTTGTTAAAACATGTTGTCACGACCCTTAGATATCAAATGAGTTATCAAACACGAGTCCTGCTAGATTACAATAATGGCAACGGTAGTTCGCACGATTAATATCAAAATTATTTGATGGCTACGTTCTATGCTTATCCTTTTTCTCGATTAACCGAGTTACTCATCTAGGATGCGCGATCGATGGGACATTAATTTAACTGAATTTGCATTTACCCCGCATTCACTTCAGCATGCCCGTGATGAAGGTTTCCAAGGAAGACAATTTATTAATTAACCGTGGATGCAGCCATGATCAACTCTGAGACGTTGTAAATCAAAGTGTTGTCGTGCTTTGTCGACGAATTTTTCAAGTAAATTTCTTCTCACGTGGGCGATGAAACAATCAGAAATCGTAAAAGTTTGCAGTAGGTTTCGATACCGTAATCGTCTCAGGGCACGGCGAGCGTGTAAACTAATGGCGCCACTAGTTCGCCGTGTATTGAAACAATAGTAATACCTAGCCGTGGCTTACAATGAAAAGTGTCAATTTCCAGAAACTGCAATCGTAACTAATACGTAGGGGAATTGAACGAATTACTGAGATTTAGTATATCTGTAATAGTATAATACTTAATTTGATTAATTTGAGTGGTACGTTTCTATGCTACGAGTGCCATTGAGCTTTGTTCCTTGACAAATTCACAAATACAGTTTTTCAATGTTGATAGTCGTTCACGAGTATAAAACGAAGAAATGATTGATCGTTACAAAAGATCAATGAGAATGCTGAGCGTTTTGTGTCCCGATTTCCATGACATCGTTAACTCATGACCATGAAAACAGTAAAACGATGAGAAAACAAAAATAATCGTTTTAATACAAAGAATCGAAGAAAAATTACTTTACCCCGACGCAATAATCGAAGCGACGTTTCAGAATGTTCCAAATTTCTCGGTATCTTTTAAATCAAGAAACGAAAGACACAAAATTTTACTAGGCACACCGATACTAATTTCGCATCGAGTGCTTGATTCGACATACAGAATACTTTCGTTGAGACGAAATAATCGAATTCAATAAAGTTTCCAACGAATGTATTTGCGAGGATAGTATGCCGTTTTCCAATTCGCTAACTCGGAGTTACTTCCCACGATAGATTTCTATGATTCGATCCTGGTCCACGTATTCGAAAATATGCGGCGCGTCCATCAGGATCCCAATAGTACCTGCGGTTGTCACGATGAAAAAAATGTATAGCTGCAGCCGATCGATCACCATCGCTACGTATTTCCAATCTTCTCTTGTCTGTAAAGACACACAAATTCATTCGACGACTTTAAGAAAACGTTTTGTTTTTATTTTTTCTAGTAATAAAGGAAGCCTAACATGTTTTTAGTATCGTGTACAAATTTCATGAACCTTAAAATAAAATTGACCGAAATATAAATTTTTGTTTATAATCATGCATCTTTGGTTGAAATTGGCTGGCATTTTTCGAATACTTATGAAAAATTCCTCCAGCACTCAAAGGGTTAACCTTCCCCTTCCACTGCCTAATAAATCCCTTATATCTCTCACCTGTATGTACAAGTCCTCGTTCCTCAAGTGCTCGGCAATGAACTCGACAGCCTCGGTAGCCTTGCTGGCCTCAGGGCTGAGCAACACCGAGTCCGAGCTTTCCGAGCCTCTTCTGTCAGCCAGACCCTCCCCACCAGCTGCACTAGAACCACTCGTAGTATGATGTACCTTCCTATTAATCTTGCAATTCGGGTGGTGGAGATCGGACAACTCCATCACCTCCATCTTCGACTTGGCCAACGAGGCTGGCAGGTGTTTCGGCAACTCCGTTGGGCTCCCTGAATAAGTAGACGTCGGCAATGTCACGTTCGGGATCTCCATCATCCACCTAAGACGCGTCTTCTTCGGTCTCCTCATGAGCAAGAGGGTTGGAAGGTACTTGAGGAAGATCTTCCTGATCAACTGCGGCATCCTGTGCGTCCTAGGTCCGCGGAAGTTCCAGTTGATGATGATCACCGTCACCAGGATGCTCACGGTGTTCATGATGAATGTGAACAAGAGATATTTAGCGATCAACGGAAGCACCAGGGATGTCGGGGGCAGGATCTTGCTGACCAGCAACAGAAACACGACCAACGAGAGGAGAATGCTGATACCAAGCGTCACTTTCTCGCCAGCTTCCGCCGGAAGATAGAAGACCAACACGCAGAGGAAGGAGATCAGTACCGTGGGAAGAATTAAATTCACCGTGTAGAAGAGTGTCTTGCGTCTGATTATGATGTAGAAGGTGATGTCCGTTTCCGTTGGGAAGCTACCTTGGTAGGTGTTCAAGTATGCAGGGACGTTGATGATGTCCCAGGTGCCGCTTTTCCAGTAGTCGGACAGGTCTACAAAGTTCTTATTGTTATACAAGGCTAGCGAGACCTGGTCACCGTTGAATGTCCACGATCCGAACTTCATGATGCAGGTCTGCTGGTCGAACGGGAAGTACGTGACGTCGATCGTGCAGGAACTCTGATAGATCGCCGGGGGCACCCAGAGGACGTCGCCGTTGGGGTAGATGAGGACATTGCTCTTGTACCGTACCTCGTAGTTACCGTCGGCGCTAAAAATTGGTTGATGAGTTAGAAATTGTGGGGAATGTACGGTGTTGTTATTACTATAACAAACTGGAGCGTGTGGCTTAGTGACGCCAAGCTTTCGCCATTGCATCACTGGATACATGGTGTTTGACGTAGAAGAAATTGTTCGGTAGAGTGAGCGAATCAAAATGTTTTTGAATAATAGAGAATTTGGATTTTTCTGATACGCACTTGTTGAATAACACAATATCTGGCTTCCAAACTTTATCAGGTGGTAACCTCAGGACACCGATTCCACCATAGTCCGCCTCGTCCCATTGTAACTGATAATCGGTCCAGATGAATCTCAGCCACACGTTCGACTTCATGATTTGATTTTTCTCATTCTGAAAAATAAATTGTATTATTGCGTGTAGTTGTATATATTGATAAAATAGTCAATAATCAACGAAGAATTTCAAGTAAATATTATTTTTAATTTAATTAATTAATTAATCAAATAAGGAGCACTAAAATACTCAACGCATCTATTTCTATTTTATCGATACCAAAAGCGTACAGCTACTAATGTATCTACAATTCATCCGAAATACCGAGTCTTCTTTTTAATTAATCCCACCCTTACCCACACCAACAATATATACCAGTCATTAGAGTTATTAACGAAGCCCTTAATTTCTACAAATACGACAACTGGTATCTCGAAAATACTATGTGCTACATGTTTCGTAAAGGTTTGATAAAACCTGTAAGGAAACGTTTCAAGAAATGTACCAACAATAATATAAAAATCTCACCACGTTGATCAGCTGCACGAACGCCAGCCCGAAATTCACGTGCACCTTCTCCGTCATATTCTGCACGGGCCTAATAAGTTTGTTGTATCCTCTAAACAGATCTCGCACCAACCTTTCTTCATCTTCGGAGCAGAGACCTGAGAAAACCACGACGATTATTACTCGTTAAGGGTAATCGCGACGCGTGAATCACCGTTCGATCCTTACCAACGCAGAAAATCGCGGAGACGAAGAGAAAACGCGCGAACCGCAAACAAAAATTCATTTTGGGCATGTTTCAGATGTCCCACCCGCAGACACCCTAACTCCACAGCCACCGCCGCAGATCAATATGAGGACGCAGACGCTGGCCAATAAGTGTACATTCTTCCTTGCCGTCCGACCCGCTGACACACACCCTGCTCCATGATCGTCCAATTAATTAGCAACCCTTTCGCTGATGCCCTCCAACGTTAGAACTAACGACCTTGAACGTTCTTTCGATCGTATATTTCGATGCAACGTTCCCGTCTCTGTCAACGAGGCGACGCGTTTCGACTTGGAACGCGTGACTAGGGTGCGATTCGCAGACCGACTTAGGGAGGAGACTTGGGCAGGGTTGCCCACGAGTAACGCGTTTCACAGATGTGAGGGGCGAATGGTCCCTGCGCTGCGGAGCGATCTGCTTTATCGAGGAATTCTGGACAAGTTGGGGGACAAAAAGCAGGGTTGTGCTAAGAAGGGTGTTTGGAAAGGCGCGTTTAGTATGTTCACTGATAGATTGGTATTTGCGAAAATTTCTAGCTGGATGGAAATTCGTTTGGGAACAACGGAAAACTGTGTAATTTAATATTTGCGGTGGTACTTCATTTTGCAAGTCGAATTTAGATCTCTTTTATTTATATTTAACATTATTTAGGTTCTTAGTGGAACATCTTGTCTCTATCTTCGGACTCTTTTCATTCGTTTATGTTGTACATTTTAATGGCGTAAAATAATGCTAATGAATTCAAACTAAAATAGCACTTAAACATATCTATAATTTAAAAATAACGCTATGACTTCTTTGCCGTTAGAAGGATACACCTCACAGCTGCTTGTAAACGCGCAACTGTTTCGCTTCCTTTGTCACTAGCTGGCGCCATGCTGACTGAAATAGCGCTTCTTTGCAAAAAGTATGTAGAAATATAATTATATATATATATATTTTTAATAAATACAGGATATCAGCTCATTATTCATAATACATAAAACATTAAACCTGTAAACTTGAACACCTTACTTTTATAATAAACAAACTTGTAACTCATAAATGAATTCACCCTTTACCTTGACGCTTTCATTTTACAAATTGATCATTGTATTTGAAAAAGACATAGTTGACTTTTATATCTTCTCCACGTCAACGCATTACGAAGAAACTATCTCCACTACTTTCCGTCTCTCTTTTACAACCTTTATTATCAGACACATTTTTTCCTATTATTTGAAGTAACGAAGGCATTAGCTCCGTTTCTAATAGGCCATTATGTACAGCAGGATTAACTTTTCACCATCCTTAAATATCCACAATATTTGACATCACGTAGACTTCCAAGTCATCCTAAACTTCCCCTCCAGCCACTTCCCTAACGTTAATTTTGTATGAACTTCATTAGCTCCGCCGCCGCACTATCTACATAATTTCGATCCATAGTATTACAATTCCGAATTAGCAACATCATTTTCAACCCATAATCGGATTTCTTATAAAAGCACCGAAATGCGTCGACTAAATATTTCTAATTCCTGTATGGGTCCAAACTCGTGAATTTTATATTATATCAAATTGTTAATCCGATATGAAAACTTTTAGACACAGGAACTTTTCAGAAACACACAACGAAAAATATTAACTTTCTTAGCTCTACACATATCCAATTAAAATACTTGAATTTCTTTAAGTCAATTTGTTCTACACTCCACAGTTTGTTAAGACCTAAAACCGTGCAAATTATAGTACCTATATGAAGACCCATGTAGATGCATCATAAATTAATTATGAACAACTTACCATCGATAAATGCAACTTTAATTAGCATCCTTGGCAATTACATCAAGCGGCCTTTGCATCATTACGAGTAATTAAAAAGCAACCAGCGCTCAAACGACCACGTTTGATTCACCAATGATCGTTTGCCGAGCTGCTTTTAGCAATATCAAATATTTTCAGAGCAACGTTACAAGCAAGATCACGATCAGGACACTCCGAGCCTGACGAAAATGCACCACTTCCAATTCATTTGCTCCTCGGCTGTCCTTTGTCAGTTTCCGTCCCATACGTTAATTACCATGAAATTTCCTGCATTCTACGCCTCACCTGGATCTACCAGCGACGGAGTTTAGAAGTTGCCCCCTCACGCCAGTGGAACTATCAAAGTTACAATTATGGGTTGTCCCGAAACAGCTAACTTTCTGAAAACAGATACAGATCGGATGCGAAACGACAGTGCGCCAACGATACGTCCGAGCTTGCGAAATCGTTCTGAAGGAACGGATAACCGTGATTTCGGCGAATAATGGATGGGACGGTCCAGCGAGCCATTAGGGGAATCACCTGAACGCAGATGTATCTAAATACTAAAATATGTGAGTAAAATTAGAGCACCTAGGAGGCTTGTTTAATTAGAAATTGAGGCAAAATGTAAAGGAGAAGTGAATGAAAGGGTAAAGTTGGAAATGCTAGGAGGAGAAAAAATTATTATGACTTGCAGCGAAAAAAGTAACTTTAAATATTGTACTTATACCCTGATAAATTTATGACAAATGTAAATATACAATAATGTGCACAAATGCATAAATGTATAAAATATAAAAAATAAAATAAGCATACTTTAATGTAGGTATCGGAGTACTATTAAATAATTTCTTAGCTTTGTCAGTGTGTGTCTTCGAGTCCATCTGTTTTTCATGAGTTTTGAACTCGCAAGACTGTAATAGCCGTCACAGTGGAAGCAAGGTACTCTATAGAGTCTTCTCGTGACAAGGAACAAGGTCGTGTAGCTGTAGCATCAGCAATAACGAAGAAAACCGAGAAGTCCTTACAACTATGTTATTATTGGGAAATTCCTCTGGAGAAAGAAGACAAAAGATTTTGAAACGTATCGGAAAACTTTTATACACAGGAACTTTTCACAAACACACAATGAAAAATATTAACTTTCTGTCCTTACTGTATATGTCCAATTGAAGTACTTGAATTTCTTGAAGTCAATTTGTTTTACGTATATAGTTTGAAGAGGTCTTCCATCGAATCATCATCTCGATTACTTAGAATCCCTGTCCTTCAGCGTGGGTCTCGGTACGTCTATAAGAGTGCGCAGTTCATCTACAAGCTGCGGCACTACTAAGTGCCATGAATTTGGTCGATGAAAGGGAGAACCAATCAAAGCATTTCGAGTAAAGTAATGATGGGTCTGCAACGCTTGGTCCCGACGTGGCGGACGTTTAATTGAATCATTACATCACTTGCATGCAATTTAGCTCAATCGTTTGCTTACCTCTCAAGACGCTTGCACTCTGAAGGTGACCGTTGAATGATACAATCGGAAGAAATAAAATTAAAGTCACATCTCAGCAATGGGAATGGGTCTATTCCGTCAATTTGACATAATGAAATAAGAAGAAATGTTCAAAGTTACGACAGACTAACTTTCAGCTTTCGGTTAGAAATTTAATTTAGATTATTAACCCATTCGCTGCCAGCTACGAGATGCCTCGTAGTTCAAATTGATTGCAATTACTCAAGGGATAAGTTCATATCCTTTTGAGTCACGAATTATTGCAAAAGAAGATCGTAAATTTACTTTCTAAAACAACAAATTCAATATCACTTTTTATTATCAAAATAATAATCTGGATTACAAATCTGTATTAAATTTTGGCGCTTTAAGGTATACGATGCCCCTGTCCAAATTTCGAATGCAAAGGCTCATCAAACCACCCTCTAAATATATTTCGTTATACGTACCGCACAGATCTGCAAGTTCCCCGCCCCAATTCCCCAAGCAATCCTTTCTCCACCACTTCGGTCTAAAGCACCTGTCCGCAAGTCTTCCTGTGTATTAAAAAATACAACTCCTGAGCGCCGTGTGGTCAGATGGTTGGCGAAACAACCGCGCGATTCGCGAAACGACTCCGATTAAGACTCCGAGCCTAGAAGCCCCGGCAATCTGCTGCGGTCGACCGCGATATTGCAACGATTCTACGTGCACCAAATTCCGGACTTGGGGGTGCATCCGGCCGGGGTTATTGTTATGTCAAACGACGCGAGTGCACCGCATGTCGTCGCAAACCGGCCGTCCCCCGGGGTAAAAGTATACGTGTACGGACACACGCGGGGGCGGCGACGCTTGCTCGTGTGCGCCGGAGTCGAATTATTAAAAAAGCAACGACGGGATGGGTCGCGTGCTGGCTTTGTCGCGCGGCCCTTTCGCCCAGGTTTTTATATTTAAACATCCAACCGGAGAAGCGCGTGCAACGCGTGCGACGTCGGGTCGCGGGACAAAAAGCGCGTCGCGCAACGAATTTGCCAAGCTTTTTCGCTCGTGCGGTGAAAGCGATCGATCGGGAGAGGGAGATCGCACGGGGAGGTGGTTTGCGGTATTTTCTTTATTGAAATATGGAAATTGTAAGCGATCGTTGAGTTTTTTTCCCTCCCCCTATCGCGGTTTGATTACTCCGACTGTGTTTGATGCACTATTTCGCGCGTTGCCGTCGAATTCCGTTCTTGATCCGCGCCATTGGCCTGAAACTGTAATTGTTTCCTCCGGGATACGCGTTTTGTTCTTCGTCCTGGTTTGCAACGAGGATTTTTAGGAACGGTGAAATTTTAATGGAAATATTCTATTTGTTACTGGATATATGTTTGTAGCGGAGGGGAATAGTTCAATCAGACTTTGTCTAGTAGCTTGACATGTTAGGAGGTGTTCTAGGGGTGGTTGGAAATTAATCTTTGGTTTTCAGGAATTTATTTTGTAGAAATGAAAAGGAATGTTAAAACAAACTCAATTGAATAATATTACGTAACACTGGAGCTACTGAGTTATATTTTTTTTTCATGGGGCATTTCTCTTCAATAAAATTTGAAAAATTGGATTTAGCCGCCCATAGTTTCCTAGTTCCTGAAACTAAACAAACTGAATTGATGGAACAATATCCTATGGAAATTGACACATGATTTGTTGAAAATATTGAAATGTAACGAAATGATATCTTCGTTCGAAAAATAATCAATTGAAACTTTGCATGCAGTGCCGAAAAATAAAATAAAAAGAGGTTTAGTTCAATTTTCTTACTATTTTTTGGAAGCAGTTCAAAAATTCACTTCAGAAATGATAATCTAGAGGTGGGCGATGAATAAAAAGGGATGTGGGTCAGCCTTTCATAGCGTCATTGACTTTGTTTTAGTACTGTCGTTTGGGGATGTGTGACGATGTCATAAAGAATAGAGGAATAACGATTAATTAACGGTGGACATCGAATTTTCAATTTTTCATGCATCTATTCAACGTATTGGCAATATGTATCTGCCGTGATGATGGTTCCTTTTGATAAAAATGAATAATGGATGACTTCGATCATAT